AAAAAAAAAAAGAAAATATCTGCCACAGGAAAAACACAAATTTGTGTTTTTATGGGATTAAATTAAGTATAAAACAATCCTACAAGGCCTGAAGTACGCTCAGTTGAGTGTAGAGGCATACCTGAAGGAATAGTGTGCATTTGAGACTTTGAAGGAATGTTTCCATAGATTTGAGGAGAGATCTAACAGCAAAGTTAAAGTATAATGAATGTAATATCAGTGTCAATCCAATATAAAATCAGGAAATTGAAGAAAAAATCTGTGTACCATATTCAAAATTTTTTCTGTATTTTTAGATGTTAGATGCTAGCATTATATCATACAAAACCGGTGGTGCCTTGTAAAACTGTTATGTTGGCCTGCTGACCTGTGCTACCTCAGATCTATAAAGGAACCAGTCTTCAGTATATATACCTGCCTTTATCTGATTGAGATTACAGTTAAAACAAAGGTATTTGTTTTTTCATTTAGTTGAATGTATTTTTTCATCATTTTCTCTCAGTATAATTTAGGGCAATAAATTTCTGAAAGTTGAATTTTTTTGTTTACTATTTAACCTTTGTTAAAAACTTTTCCTTCCATATATAGATGCAATCAACTGAGACTTGTCAGTTTTGTGTCCCCTATTTCAACATTTTAAAAAGAAGAAGTGTGTTAGCTCTGGATCTTCTTATGAATAGGTGATTATTTTTAAAGTATAAAACTTTTTAATGTACAAGTAATTAAAATTTGTTATTGTACTCTTTTAGGTTAATTTCTATCCCTTTATTTCAGTTTTTATATTTTCAAGCTTACAGACTTTGCTTATTTGACCTAGAAAAATTATTTGTGGACATTTAATATCATACATGGTACCTAAACATCACCATTTCATTATTGCCACAGAATATATTTCACTGCATTATATGTAAATATAAATCACTTCGTGAGTAATACTAGAGTTGTAGAAGCAAGTAGGGGAATCAGAAACTGTCTTTGGCATTGGGTTTTTGTTCCTGTAAGGTAAAATTTAGGTTTTTCTTAAGTTTCCTGAGATTAGTAGAGAAGTTCCAGGGGGTTATCACTAGAGGTAGTAATGCTCTTTGTTTCACTTTCTGTTTTAAACCAATTAATAAAGTAATTTTAATGAGTTTTATTTGGGTCCTTCACGCTTACAGTGGTTAGTGAAGTTCAGTGTACCTATAACCCCCGCTAGCCCCTCAGTTATTACTCAGCTGAACAGTGCTAGCTGCTGAGTTGGCTGTGGTTCTTTACACAACTGTTGTTTCTTTTATACTTCTACCTTTGAAAGACAGGAAACATAGTGTGCAATGTCAGAGCACATACCTATAGTCCTAGCACTTAGAGCTGAGAAGAATTGCTGTGAGTTTGAGAGCAGCTTGGGCCACCTAGTGAGTTCAAGGCCGTCCTGGAATATATAGCTAGACCCTGTCTCAAGAAACAAAACATAAAGAAAACACAATGAGTACTGATAGAATATAACACACGTGGCATGTAAAGTGGGAATAACCCAGCAAGGTGATCTTCACTAGTACTGTTAGTATATAAGCCGAGCAAAATTTTTGAACCCCACTAAATTGTGCTTTTGTGTACTTAAAAAATTAATAGACTTTGCCAGGATTAGCATCAGACTTCTTGGCATTTACTTTTGCATTTTTGTTTCATATAAATGTTGAATGTGCCTTATTCAAATTAGTTTTTTGGTTATAAAAAATAAATCTTAATTTTTCCCAACTGAGTGGTTCTTGATTAAAGTTTCCAAAGTAGCAAGTTTATAGAAATGGGCATGTGGTTATTAATGTGGGAAAGGACACTCCAGTCATTGGCAAGTAGCTGAAGAGCCAGAGAATCCTGTGAGGGTCAGGTGGCATTTATGTCTGTTAGTGAAAGAGGTACAGTTCAGCCACCGTGCCTAGACTGTACTGCTGTCACATAGTATCCTTTGTTATTTAGCGAAGCTTTCATGAAGTAGAGGGGAAAGAGTGTGATAAGTACAATTCTGAGAGTTGCTCCAAATTTAGGGTTGCTCCAGACTGATTGGGAAGGCGTTTAAGTGTGGGCATATGCTTGGAGCAGGAAGGTGGGTGTGTCTTAAGAATTTCAGTCTCAGAATGTTGCCAAGCCAGAAAGAGAGCAGAAGCATGGGAGTACCTTATCTCAGCCCTTCACTAGCCACCTCCCGTTTTCCCCCACTGTCTATACTCAATTAAAGCCAAACCATTTATTAACACTTTCTACAGCCATTTCCTATCAAGTATGAATTGAATCGTGAAAATCTGCAAGATTTATTCTTACAATTTAGAAAAATAGTAACTCTGAGGAGTTACCATATCTTAAATTACGAGCTTTCGGTCAGCTGGGCTGAAGTCAAGGATGAGCCTGAAGGCGAAGAAAAGGATTTCCTAATACTCATTCCAGACATTTGCAGCAACATGATTTCCTCATACCATAACACCACTAGAAGATGTTATGGTCTTCTCTACATGCACCAAAACAGGCCTCAATACTGTAAAAACAGATTGATAAGGAAGGGTTATAAGTTTAGTTAACTCTAAATTGTGATTTTAAACAGGCTATAATAGAAATAATGTCATCTGAGGTTACAGTATGGATCATCAAATGTTCAGTGTAGAGGCAGCAACATCAAACTAAACTAAGGAGATAACTTTGCTCTTGGACCAAGATCTTAGTTACTTTAAGAAAAGGAAAAATGTAGGCGGATACCATGTTGTTGGCAGCATTATTCATAACAGTTACAGCGGATAAACAAAACGTGGTACACTATATGCTATATGTAGTGGAATATTCAGCCTTTATGAGGAAATTTTGACATGTGTTACAACATGAGTGAATATTGAGAGCATTATACAAAGCCAGACACAAAAAATATGATTACACCTGTATGAGGTACTTCACATAGCCAAAGTCAGAGAGACAGAATGTAGAATGGTGGTTGCTAGGAGCTGAGGGAGGAAAAGATGAGGCATTGTTATGGGGGGTATGGAAATCCAGTTTTACAAGGTGAAAAGGTGAGATAGGTGGTACAGTGGTTGTACATTATGAGTGTGTAACAACATGAGTGTTACACACTGAACTATATACTTAATAAAAATAATTTTTAAAAGTCATGGTTAAGAGTGTATTTTGTGTATATTTACAGCAATAGCAAGAAGAATTGAGGAGTGAGGGGATCCTAAAACCAGAGTCATGAAAGGGAGAAAGGCATCCTCTTTGTAGTAGAATTTAGCTTTTCCAAACTGTGTGCAATGCACTGTGCTGGGTGCTGGGCTGATGCGGTGACAGCTCCATCCCTAGAAGAACAGACTGTTCAGAGGAAGAGACCAGCAGTCCAACTAGAATGTCCAGGGAGGTGAAGATTTTTATTTATTTATTTTTTTTTAGATGTCCTTTCTCTGTTCTTCAGGCTGGCCTTGAGCTCACTATGTAGCCCAGGCTAGCCTCGAACTCATGATGGTCCTCCCGCCTCAGCTTCCTGAGTGCTAGGATTATGGGCATGCACCAACCACCATACCTGGCAGTTGGGTTGTTTGTTTATTTAGAAAAGGGATTACTTCCAGAGATGTCAAGGGAATAAATCACAGAAACAAGATTTGAAGGAAAGGTAGGATTTGGGCAGGTAGAGTGGGTGTGTGGGTTCAGAAATGTAAAAGAAAAGTCCAGGTGAAATGGACAGGATACAGAAAGTTCCTAGTGATTTTTTAACTCTGGGGTGAGGTGTATCCCTGATGCACACTTTAC